CCCCCGCTGTCTGTCCCTATGTATGCTTAGATCTTTAAAACTACGCAACGGATTTTAATGCGTTTTTTTTTAATAGATAGAGTAATTCAAGAGGAAAGTTTATATGTATAATACATGCATAATATAGTAGAGAAACACTGATAATTTTAGAGGTTTGTAATGTGATGTCGTAAACACTTACAATACAAACGCTGGCTGAATCCTACAAGATAGATCAAAATTATGTACTACAGTTTTGTACACCTTAAAAAGGACTACAAAAATGTTCGGGATGGTATATGTCTATCTCTTAAGGATAACCCATAATAACCATTTTTTATCTTTTACTTTTTATGAGAAATAATGGCTTATTTACGAAGCGATTTTAAGAAATACAGCATTAATTCTTATTCAATTAAGTATCTTAAATACATTGTGCATTTAATATAGATCAATATAGCCCTTTACAGACTTAAAATGCAGGGACTTAGCGGTTGCGGCGGTACCGGCCGATTTGTATTGTCTAATGATAAAAAAGGTGTGATTGTTGTATATAAAAACATTCTACAGTATATTTACTATCAGTATTGCACCCGTGCGAAGCATAGTGTACAAATAATACCATTAAACCAATTCCTTAACCCCTATTCCGGTATGTTTGTGTGTTTGAAAACCTTTCACTTCAGTAGCGTGTTGTATAATTATACGTTGTATTTTTTTTTCTTCAAAATACGTTTGTAATTATAAAAAAATGAACCCAACTGCATTTTTTACATGAAATTTCAATATGAAACAAAGACCATTAATATTAAGATTGGAGCTTCTATCTGGTGTGATATTCATTTCATGATGGTAGCTGCAGCACCTAACAGTTTGCTAAAATTATTTATGCATTTAACTGACAAACAGAAACAAAACATATATTTTCATGTGCGTACCTGCCATACAGATGCACTTGTGTATGTTGACGTATGAAAAGTTAATAGCACCCACTTATTTATTAAGAGTGATTAGGAGCTTATAAACTAACTATAACTAATGATCAGACTCACCAAAAAAACATTTTGAAGGCCAAAAAGCATCCACAAACTCGCAAACTACAACCACATCGCGTTACTTACATTTTAAAGGACGAAAACAACACTGACAAACTGTTCACAATATACGTATTTACTGGCCGACATAACTCATACAAGGATAACCTTGAGCTAGGACGTTTGATAGTGAAAGTAAAAAAGCCGAGAATAAATGAGATCATCTCATTTTTTGTGCCTGTTATCAGCAAGCTTGTGCCTTAGGTATATTTAAACCGGTTTCTGCAGTTGATTTTCCTCTAGTTTTAGAAAATGTGGCACGTTTATATATGTAATTTAGAAATAAAAATATGAATATAAAAAGGTGGAAAACACATTTTTGTAGATAACATTTGATTGCAATTTTGACAAATACATAAGTGAAGCTAGATCAATAATTTAAAACATACACCACTGCCTATATCAAAAGCACTAAAAAACTAATTGTTGGTATTTAATTGGAAATTTATCAAAAATGGAATGTCAAAGATTTAGGATATCAGATTTTATAATTTATTAGAATTTTTTGAAGACAAAGTAGGATTTACAAAACTTGGTTTAACATCCTTTAAACACTTAGAACTTCTATCCAAGTTTTATTATGAAATTGTTATTAGCCGAAATAGTCCAAAATTTTATACGAATTATACAGTTAGAATATTATTAAGTTTATCCTTTGTGGTTTGCTTTTCTTACAGAGACTGGAGAATAACTCACGTGCTAAGTCACCATCTCTACCCCAACACTATAAATGATCTGGAAATTTCGGTTCTGGAACCCATGTGTCAGTATCTCCCATGGACAAAAAGTAAATGGTACTTAAAATTAGCATGGTGGTATCAACCGATCTTTTACGCAATTTTCTTCATACTCGGCCATTTAAAAGGGTATAATTTTACTTTACTATTTATAGCAGATATTTTGAAAACTCTTCCCATTGTCAAAATGTCTATTAAAACGTATAGTCGTACTACTTTATTTGGAACCAAAAGAGCTTCTGTCAATATTTTGATATTTTGAGTAAACATTAGATTATTTGGTTGAGTGCAAGCTTTCACGGCCGGCGTTAATTCTATGTTGAGAGTTTTTTGGGCTGATGGGCCGTGGTCTATTTGGACTCCTGACGTTTCGTCCACAACTACGGTGAACATTCTTAAAGGCGGTGTGTTAGTCGGCGTAGTACTCCTTGCGGCGGATCTGCGACGAAATTTCGCCCATATCCCCGACATAGAATTAGATTATTTCTCTTGTTTTCTTTTATTTGTTAAAACGGGCAATGCTAAATTAAAGCAATAGTCGGATCCATAAATTATTATGAATTCATTCAGATCAACTTAAGCAAAAGGGCCAAAGTTTAGAAAATGTTTGAATGTTTTAAAAAATTAAAAGTAATACCTATTCTATTCAAGGATATTATTATTTGCAAAGTCAGTGTTTATAAGTGAAGCTTGGATTCCATTTTAACTGTAATGAAAGCATTTTTGACAAAGACTTCAACTGAAATTTTCTAAAATGTGATGATTTTTGACGTTGGCCCTTTTAGCTCCAAGTCAGAGATTTAAAATTCCCCAATTCGCTTCTGTTTTTATATATGCGACGTCAGCGGTTAATTTGAAGGACCAGCACACCCTTCCCCCAACCAGAATAGAGAAGACATGTATATGTACCTATACATACGAATCTAGTCTCAGTAAAATTGCTCTAACTAACGAAAATATGCTTTTTGTTTGGAAAAACCTTATCTTAACACGAACTTTATGAAAATTACTTTAATTTGATAATCACGTGAAAAATTTTTATTAGCTACTAATATATCGAAATATAACCAATGGTTTTGAAATTAAATATAATTGCAAATGGCAGTTTGTACTTTTTGAGTCGTACCAATACTTTTGACTTACGATTATTTTCTGTATTAGAATGGTTCATAAAGCCCTTTGGAAAATTGGTTTGGTTCCCTACAAAGCACCAATGTACTGGGACGACTTTTTAGGATACATTGTTCTAATTCCAATGTACTGGTTCAATGGTTCTTTACAACAAGTGTTGTTAATGTTCTTCTACATCTTGTTAATCGCAGGAATACATTTTGGTATAATAGGTATTAATGCTGCTCATAGAGATCCAGAGATATTTCTTGATGGAGATGCTTCAAGGTAAGTGATAATAGTATCTAACTAAGTAGAAAAAGTCTTACTCCAACTTACGAAATAAATAGATATTGCTTGGTTAACTTCCTTCATCACTATCAGTTGCTCTCGCCTCTCGTTTAAAATTCCTGAAAAGCGAACTTATAAATATTTTTAGTAAAATTAATCAGACAATTTTATACAACCCTCTCAAATGATACTTCCCAAAAAAGTCGACAAAGTTTTAACTCTACCGCATGTTACATTTACTACGTTGAAATACAAATAACTTGTCAGTCTTCAGTACCAATTTTTTGAGGAATATCTTTCTCTTTTTTTTCAGTCACTTTTTAGAAAGTGTGTCTTTTTAGCATGAAACTGCAAATCACTCTTTCCATTTAATTTTCTTTAGGGAAGCAAACTGTTTAATTGTTTTGAAATTATCAATTTCAGGCCACTTCCAGAATTGGATTGGGGAGTCTACCAATTGGACAGCGTCGTCGATAGATCAGATATTTCGAAATTCCAGTTCCTTGTTCTTACCAGTTTTGGGGACCACGCTTTGCACCATTTGTTCCCAACACTGGACCATGGTTTGCTAAGATATCTATATCCAATATTCAATAGAAATTGTGAGAAATTCGGAGTCAATTTATTGATTAAAACACACTGGGAAGTGATGAAGGGCCATTTTACACAACTACTGAGAACTGAACCAAAAACCACACCTCCAAAACCACTCAAATTGGCACCCACAAACAAAAAGGAAGAATAAGATACGATATATTGCATTGCCAATAAATTTATGAGTAGACTATTATGATAGATAAAATGTATAAGTAAACAGTAACTGTTATTAATAAACAGTAATAATAGGCGATGTTTTTTAAGTTAAATTATTTATTTTACAATTAATATTTAACAGTAGTTAACATCAAAATAAATACAGAATAAAAATAATGCTGTTACAGAACGAACGTGAAGAGAACACCAGATCATCCGATATTCTGGTCGATGTTGGTAACGGGATGATCGTTCTTTTTATTTACTACACACGTCTCATACACGACAATTTCAATAAATACCCTACAAATTAATATACCTATTTTCGGAGACTTCTATATTTTCGTCTATAATATTTTTCCCTTTATCGATGATGACAATATCTAATAATAGAAATAAACACCTCCCATTTTACCGTAAAGTAGACTTTCACACAATTAAAAGTGGAATTATGACATAAATAAAGACATACAAACTTAGTTATAAAATAATATATTCTAAACTAAGGTATGTGTATATTATGTATATAACTATATATTATATAACAATAGAAATGTATTGCTGTGTGTGTTCTTTTCGCGTTCTGGTTGTTCTCATAATGATCACACAGTGCAAAAATCGGCTCCTTAGAATTCGTCGAAGGCATCAATAGGACGTGGTCTAGGAGGCTAAAAAGGAAAAACAATTAAAACATTTGCAAACAGAAAAAACCATGTGGTAACGATAATAATAATTACAATACGGACAACGCTTTACAAGAAACGAAAGGAGACAAAATAAAACAATGTAACAGCAATGTCAGCGATTTCTACAATTACGGAACGATTTGTTTTCATGAGAGGACGTAACTGTACAATTGCCCACTGTATCAAGGTGACATATGAGGGGATAATTCTAAGAAAAACCCGTTCACTCACTTACTGGAGTTATGCTTTATTCGGCTACTGTTGCAGACTTTCCTCTCTGAAGGAAAAAAAGGCAATGTAACTAAAGGCAAGTCAAAATTTTATACGAGAATATGAGAAAAATGGTTCGATAATAATTACATTTTTAATTTTTTAATTTGAGTAGTATAACACAATAAGCAATTTCAATTGTTGATCAAGAATTTGTTAAAATCAGCAGTTTGATGAACTATTGATCGCCGTGGGTTTGTGGCTTAACACCTAACACGCAGTTTCAATTTAGTGAATAGATATTTTTAAATACCCAGACACTACATTCAGTAGCACTTGCTCTTTTGATAACACCTTACCATTTAGAGTCATCAAAAGTATAAATATTATAGAATAAAATGTTACGATAGTAGGTACATAAAAATTGTTACTTACTGCCGGACTGACTCCTCGTGCTGCAGATCCGGAACGTCCCTTCGCCCTGAATTTGGCAATAGCTTGTTCAGCCATGTCTGCACGTTCTTCGGCTTCCTCCAGTTCTTGTTGAGCTTTGCGGAATTTGGCAAGATTAAGGGCGGCGATTTCTTCTGCTTCTTCGATTTGCCTCTTGTAGGTCTTGATCTTCTGTTGAAGTTTGTCAACGAGGTCTTGCATGCGCTCGTGATTCTTGCGGTCTTCTTCAGCTTGGAAGCTAAGTTCCTTGATACGACGTTCAGATTTCCTCAAGTTCTTCTGAGCATCGGCATGTCGTCTCTGTTCACCGTCAAGCTCGTTCTCCAATTCTCGAACCCTTTGTTCAAGTTTTTGGATGGCTTTCTTACCTCCTTTAAGAGCGTTAGCTTCGGCCTCGTCCAAACGTACTTGCAAGTCCTTAATTTGTGTCTCAAGTGCTTTGCGGAGTTTTTCTTGGGTTTGTGCGTGGTCTTGTTCGGCACGAAGTTCATCAGCCAAACGGGCAGCGTCAACCATTGCCTTCTTGGCCTTCTCTTCGGAGTTCTTGGCTTCGTTCAACAATTCATCGAGATCAGCGTGTAGAGTCTGGAGTTCGGATTCCAATTTCCTCTTGGCAGCAGATATCGAAGCGTTTTGGGCAGAGAGGTCGTTGAGTTGTTCATGAGCATCTCCAAGTTCTTGCTCAGCTTGGCGCCGGGCGCGATCGGCTTGTTCCAAGAGAGTGCGCGACTCTTCCAGTTCGTTTTGAAGGGCGTTGGCACGACGTTCTGAAATGCCAAGTTGTTCACGGGCTTCGTCACGTGCACGTTGTTCTTCCTCAAGGGCTTGTTGAGTGTCCTTAAGTTGTTGTTGGTAGCGCTTGATGGTCTTTTGGGCCTCAGCATTAGCCTAAATGAAATAGAAGAGAAATATGAGAAGAAGATAAATTTACATTTTGGATATTTTTTTTACCTTGTTGGCATGGTCCAATGCGATTTCAAGCTCGTTGATATCAGCTTCCAACTTCTTCTTCATGCGTAGAGCCTCAGCCTTTCCTTTAGCTTCTGCTTCAAGAGAAGCTTGCATGGAGTCGAGAGCACGTTGGTGGTTCTTTCTTGTATTTTCAAATTCTTCTTCCTTCTCTTGAATGCGCCTGTCGATTTCTTGACGTACTTGAGATAATTCCAATTGGCTTCTAAGTACTTTGTTTTCTTCCTGTTCCAATGCAGCTTCAGCTTCTTCAAGAGCAGCTTGAAGTTCATCCTTCTCAGCTTCCAATCGCTTTCTGGCTTTTTCGATTTCATGGATGTTGCGGCCACCTTCACCAATTTGGTCGAGCAAGTCCTTAACTTCATCGGCAAGGTTCTTGTTTTCTCTGCGAACTGCCTCAAGTTGTTCTTGACCTTCTTCGTAGGCACCCTTAAGTCTAAACAATTCGGTAGAGTAGTTTCTGCATTCTTTTTGACTGGCGTCAAGTTCAGCTGCCAAGTCATCAACCTTAAGTTTCCATTCTCCAATAATTTTGTCGAATGCCTTCTGTTTCTTCTCGGCAGCGTTGGCAATGGCTGTAGCACGATCAACTTCGAGTTGAAGGTCTTCTACTTCAGTGGCCAGACGTTGCTTGGTCTTCTCGAGAGCTACAACCTTCTGGTTGAGGGATTCAATGGTCTCTTCAGCTTCAGCAAGACGGGCTTGAAGTTTCCTCTTGGCTTCCTCAAGTTCCTCAGAGCGGGCAATACCCTCTGATTCGTATTTGGAGCGCCAGAGTTGAGCATCAGCGTTGGCTTTGCTGAGTTGCCGTTGGATATCGGCCTTAGCTTCGGCTTCTTCTTCAACTTGTTCACGAATGTTGTCCAAGTCGTGTTCCAAGTTGCGGAATTTACCCAAAAGTGTGGCACGTTCACGAGCTTCTTCATCAGCCAATCTCTTGGTGTCTTCCAATTGAGTGGTCAACGAGATTTTGATTTTGCTGAGCTGAGATACTTGTGATTCAGCTTCTTCAAGTTGACGGAGAAGGTCAGAGTTCTCAATAGACAACTTCTTCTTGGCAGCATCAAAGTCGTTAAGTGTACGGTTGGTTTCATCGAGTTTTCCTTGGACGTCATTAAGTTGTTGTTGGAGTTGCTTGGAGATCTTTTCTTGGGCAGCCTAAGAATTCATTAAAGTTACAAATCTGATGGACATTATTAATGAAATCACTAGCTTGAGTAATTTGGCTTAACAACAACGTTAACAACACAGAAAGTACGTCACATAATATTATGAGTTAGAAGATCGCAATGTTAAGTGGCTGAAAGGTTTAAATAAGTATTATGCTAGTTTTTATAATTTAATTATGGTAAGATACGTCAAAGAAAACAAGAAAAGGCTTGAAACACTGAAGCAGCAGTAAAATAATCGTTGATAAAAAGCTTGAAGTAAAAAATAATAAAATAATAGTTAATTGATAAATAATAATCGCGCTAGGCCGTGTGCCACACAAATCGCAGGTACCTTCTCGTTAGCCAAGTGGTCAACGCTAGCGCGTAAGTCGTTCAATTCGCCGAAGTATTGAGCCTTTTCTTTTTCTGCCCTGTGGGACAAAACAATAACAGAATAGTAAAAATACATATAGGTAATGGGTACATGTGCAGGTTAAACATGCTAAGGGCAATTTTTGAATCGAACGAAACACTGGGGACCCTAAGTACCTTTTCCCGTCCCACTTGATCCACAGCAGCACGCGTTTGTTGCAATTCAGCATAAATCGAAGCCCGATCTCTTTCAGCTCTACAGGCAATTTAAAATGTTGTTACCAATGTAAATTCTAACTTTTAAATAAGAATTTATTTTAAGCTTAATCCCCAACTGTAATAAACCGGCCTCATAGAAAAAATGTCAACTTACTTTGCCTTCAGTTTGTTAAGTTGATCAATCTGTTCACCCATCTCAGCAACTGCGTCGTTGTGCTTCTTGCGAAGATTGGCGAGGGTACCTTCATGTTGAATATTGGCTTCTTCCAGATCACGGCGGAGTTTGGCGAGTTCAGCTTCACGTTTCTTGTTGAGTTCGATTTGGGCAGATGTGGCTCCACCAGCTTCCTCAAGACGTTCGCCAAGTTCTTCCAATTCACGGGCTAAGTCAGCACGTTGTTTTTCAGCCTTAGCTCGAGCTTGACGTTCGGCTTCAACTTCTTCTTCTAATTCTTCAATGCGAGCCTGGAGTTCCTTAACTTGTTTCTGTTGTTTGCCAACAACAGATTGTTCGTCTTCGAGTTTGGCAGTGAGGGAGGAGATTTCTTTGTCTTTACGTTGAATGGTTTGTTCGAGCTCTTTTTTGTTACGTTCCAAGTCAGCGACGGCTTCTTGAGTAAGTTTGAGGTCTCCCTCAACCTTCCTCTTGGCCTTCTCTACGTCACCACGGAGTTTCTTTTCGCGTTCTAGAGAGTCCTCGAGTTCATCCAAAGTTTGTTCGAGTTTAGCTTTAACTTTGTTAAGGTGGTTGACTTTGTCTTCAGCAGCTTGGAGTTCTTCAGCTACCTTTTGGTTGTTTTCGCCTGAAAGTTTCTTTTCCTTGTTGAGTTTGTTGATGAGTTCATCTTGGTGAGCGATTTCATCGTTCAAGTTTCTGATTTGATGTTCCTTGGAAGCCTTATCCTGTTCGGATTTTTGTAGAGAGAGCTCTAAATCTTCAACGTCTTTTTTGTAGCCCGAAATCTCTTGTTCGAGTTTCTTCTTCTGTTGGAAGAGTTGATTGCGGGCATCCTCTTCTTGGGTGAGACGGTCTTGGGTTTCCTAAGAGTATGCATATATGTAGATATAAAACGTGTAATTGATGCGGAACTTTTGGAGAGCTTAATCAAGTATGAACCAAAAACTCGGGTAAACATCATTAAAATTGAATCTTTTGGGCTGGAGCCAATAAAATATTTTCGATCTCGGTGGGTAGGTAAGTCGCAAATATCAAAGTATCCGATCTGTCTTAATGGCTTAAAGGCATGAACAAAACACGAATTGACTCTTAGCCAGGTTAATCGTTATTAAGAGTAGGTAAACTTGAGTTTTTAATTGATTAAAATCTTTTCGTAGCAACTGCGCCAACGATTAATTAGTGCATGAAAGCAATCTCTTCAACACGATACGGGTAACAAGATAAATTTAGACAGGAGAAATGAGACAGTTTTATAAATGTCTCCTAATCTATACATGCGTGACTGTAATATAGACCTAAATTTAGGCAGGTGGTATATCTGTTAACATATGAATGCACGAATAAAAATTCTACAACCACGCATCTTAATAGTAGGTCGGACGAATTTAAATTTAGTAAGGATTTAAGTGGCATTACACTGATTTCTTCAAGTCTCGCTAATAAGTTGACGCAAGGTATTTCATGAATCATTCGTATCTCAAAACAAGTGATATTTTTTATGATTCCTGAATCACAACCCAACACATTATTTATTAGTTATGATTCATTTGGGTACTTAAAATATACATTTTTGATAATTTTTATGCTTGCTGATTCACAAATGGACCATTCTAGATCGAGATTGTGCCGTTACGCGTTTTTCAAAGATATTTTTAGTTCGTTCTGCTGGTAACGGTTGGAAAAATAAACATTCATAACCATGCTTATAACACAAACCGCAAAAGGTTTCATAAAATTGGGAGATTGTTTTTACAGAAAATAAACAAGAGTTGGGTTTATGAACGAGCTGAGAAAACATACCAAAATTGTAACGCCATGGAAATTTCTGAAGAGCAAAACCAGCAATTAATATGAAGTTCTAATTTTGCTTATTCTGAACACAATAACCGTTATTATTTCAGTACACAAAGTCATCAAGCATTCTTGATTCAAAAGGAAATTAATTAATTCATGATTTTTTCACAAAAATCTACAACTTTACGACGTTCTTCTAATTTTAGAAGCAAAATGTAAATAAATGATTGAATTCCGAACACTAAATTTATAGAACATTCAAAAGAAGGTGAAAAGGTACTTACAGACAATTGGGATTCAAGATCACTCTTTTGGGCTTGGAGTTTGTTGGCCCTTTCTTGAACTTCGCTAAGGCTTCCCTTTTCGCCTTCCAATTGGGACAGCAAGGAAGTCTTCTCTTCCAATAGCTTGGCATATAGACCCTCAAGTTCTTTTTTGGCCTTCTCTTCGCGTTCGAAAGCTTCCTGGGCTTTCTTGGCTTTTTCTTCCAGTTTCTGTAAAATTTCTGTCTTGTCAGGACAATTGTAATCGATGTCTACCATTTTGTCGAATTTTCGTTAACTGCCAATTCCGTAAACGGGTCGATAATACAAATTCAGATTCGTTTCACAAAATGAACAAATAAAAAGAAAACAATTACTAAGTGCAACCGAAATTTCTTAGCTTTATTTCCAATCGTAACGTTTCGTTAATATCGTATCGTGTAAGTGCACCGCTAGACCCCAAGATGGTCCAGGTGTTATGTCCGCCCCGTACCGAATTCAAGTGTCGACTGGTGCTGGAAATTGGGAAAATTGCATTTTTTCCGAAAAAAAAAAATAGACGCATGTGGGTGGGATCCGATTTTCGATGAAAGATGGTAAAAATATGTGATGCAAGTGCGGTTGACGACGGATAGAGGCGGAGTCTACCGAAATAGCACTTCTAAATTAAGGTAATATAAATTTGATACGAATCATACTGGACGCCTCAGGTATAAAATTAAAGACGCTGCCGCGCTCTCTTAATCCTCGACCGAAATCGTCAATTTTCATGTGTTTGTTATCTTTCGATAAATATTTCACCGTAGATTAGACAGGTTATTTTTAGATGCTGCATGCTTTTTACTATAAACTTAACTCGCCTTTTAATCTTTTAATTTCACCGTCGATTTTATAGCATACGATGTAAAAGCTTTCCTAAGCTATTAAGTACCTAGCTTTAATTGTTCGCCGTATTAGAATGTGTTAATTGTTAATTAAATCATTTTCTTTAACTCATCGGCTGCTATTAAGTAATTTAATTGCGGCGTTGTACCAACTGTTTAATTACCAATTAAAGAAACAATTGCAATAAAGAAACTATTATTATAAGTGCATAGCAGAAAATAATGCAACGTTTTAAAGTTTAAAGTTGGTATTGTAAAAGATTTCTAAAATCTTGTACAATAGTAACGTTGGTGTACGATTAGTAATATAATCTTAGTAGGTTATGCTACTTAAGCATGTTTTTTAGGTGTTCATTCCAATTTTCATACATTTTTTATGAGCCGATGAAAATTCATTTGGGTATTTATGACACGAGGTTATAAATAGTTTAAAAAATATTCGAAGTAACTTTATTAAATAGGTATTTCGTGGCTCCATATATATAAAGGCACAGTAAAAGAAAATATCCTATTCATAGCCCTGGAATTTGACGTCGCGCGGAAACATGAGGCTGAAAATTTGTTCACCTACTTTTATAGTGTAACGATATTATATCTATGTCGTATAAATCATGATCAAAATTATGTTTAAACTGTGCATAGTTAGTAGTGAATGACGTCAATGCCGTTTCTTTTTTTAATATTTAATTCGACAAAGTGGTAGTAGGTTGTATTTGATATTTTACCAAAAATAAATATTTTGTAAATAAAAAACTGTTTCTTAAAAGTCTTGCAATAATAAAATTATGATAGATACTTTAAAGCACTTCATACAAACTAAGAAAAATATTACTATAACTTTATTTTGAAATTTTAAAAATCGATTAGTTTTAACTTCCTAACAATTTTCTTATTTGTTTTATTTTGATCATCAGCTGTTTTGATAAATTATCATTTACTGTCATTTAAATTTGCAAAACATTATGTTTTTATTGCCAAATATTTATTGTTAGAAGGTATTTGAATTATGAAGCGAAATATAATTTTTTATTTGTTATTTTATCAAGCATTCCTTTAACTGTATTTTTCTTTGGTGCTCTCTTATCAATTTTAGTTCTAAACATAACCAAGATGCAGGCATTCATATCCTATTTTAAAGAAGATTATTTTGTCTAATAAGAATTGAAATATCAGTTGTACAATACAACTTACCGCAATCTCATCCTCGACGCGGGTGACGTTGAGGAGAGGCTTGACCTTCTGCCAGAGTTTGTACCATGGCCAGGTACGGAGTTTGAGGTATTTGCGCAAGTTGCGTTGTACGACTTGGAGAGCAAGACGTTGTTCCTGTAACCTCTTGAACTCCTTTCTGGACAAGTAACCACGAGCCCAAGACTGGAGCCAAGTCATGATCTTACCAAGACGTTCGTCACGTAATTCTTCCATCTGACCCAACACACCAGCTCGGAAGAATACCTATGTGTATCGATTAGCAAGTCAGAAACAAAAAAAGGACACAAAGTTATGGTTTTGTGGGTCAAAACTTCTTCTAACGTTACTTCTTTTCAGTAAAATATGTAGGTGTAACTTTAACGCTATTTTTGTGGCAATCGAAATAATTCTAGCTATTAGAAAAGACACAAAATCCCTTCTAGTCTAGTTAATAAGTTTGATCTATAGTAAAAAGATGAAAAGAAGTATCCACAAAACGATAACCTTTAGGTTTGTCGGATGTCAGATGCATCGGTGCTTACGCAGATATATTAGAGACTTTGCATGCAACACTTTTATTGGACAAATATTGTTTTAAAAAGCAGCACATCGTTTTGGGAACTAGGGCTCTACTTTATCTATGCAGCCATTTCCTTCACTGGAGAGGCATCTGAATTAGTAGTCAAAAATTTGCATTGTACCTCCTTACACAAATAAAAAAATTTTCATGAAATATTACAACTGTTTCATGAATTGTATTGACACGTTTCTAGTGTGGCATTGATTATTTGTCTTTTGGGCAGATGTCAATAAAATTTATATAATTTTTATATCAAATTATAGGGTGTTACATCATGAAACAGGAATATGGCTCCAATCATATTTTACTTTTGAAAGTGTTAAGTAGGATTTTCATTACGTATTTATGACTACTTTGAAAATAAAATTATAGTATTATTAATTTATCACTTGTACAAAAAAAATATTTTAAGGAAAAGGGAAAAGAGTTTTCAAATAATCTAGACCCCTTTCTAAATACATATCTTCACACAAATAAAAAATCCAATGAATTTTGGAGTTACTACTTTAAATGGAAAGAAATGGCCTGCATGGAATGTACACGAAAAGCAAGCTTTCCGTTTTTAAATAAACCACCAAATTTTAAAAACTACATAAATCATACCATTAAGGCGTTTCAATGTTATACATAGTGGTGTTTATTTAAAAACCTTTCGTGTATACCTTGGTATGTCCAAATCGGTACTGTTCTGGGTCAATGCCTACGAGGTCAACAATAACTCTAGTTGCTTCTGTAGGTGACATGTCTTTAATTTTGCTGGCGGCCAGAATTTTGTATCTGTGTAATGCCAACTATTAGTAACAAAAACAAGCACATAAAAGAACAACACACTAGAAAATAACTTCTTCCAGATCACCTGCTGGTGCTTTGTTGGAATGATCTAATTAGTAAACAGAGAGGTATTGTGGTCGACGCTGTAAATTGCGCTTTAGACCCAAAATGGGTTAGTTATGGATGACCAACAATGTCTAATTTGTTGGTTGTCAATATACATACAATCTCAAACGTGTTCAAGACACGATGAAACCGTATCATTATTCGATGGTTAACAGGCAGATTTTATTGATTCTCAACATTAAAGAAACACTTAAGGCCGAACGCGATCAAAGGCGTCTTTGATTGGCCGAGAAAACAATGGAACACATAATCCAACTTGATCAAACGCAGCAATAATAAACGTTGACAGTTGTTTAACAATTGACAACAAATAGGAACATGCCTTAGTGTGACCAAGACGGTAAAGTTCACTATCAAGTGCGCTAGCGTCTAAGATAACTTGGGCACACTTTTTGGGGTCACTCTCCTTATCTACTTCCTTAGGGGATAAAATCTTGTAACTGTATGGAAAGAATAGGTTAGATTGTGATAGACTTACACATTTTCGGAGAAATTTCAACTACTTGGTACAAAAAGGACGTCCATCAATATAGTAACAATTGACGTGATAACAACGTGTATGTTCAATAAAAAAAAAACAAGGGAAAAATCGTGCTTTCTGTGAATTATAGTGGCGAATAGGTTTGACTATCTATGATGCAACAGAAATGTGCAACGAACGTGTGGCACACTACTAGGTCTACTAAAAGTGACGTCACAGTAAGGTTTTTAAAAAAAACTAACGGACAAACAAAGAAAGAAAGTTTCGTGTCATATAAAAGGGGGGCTAAATCTTGCCTTTGTATGACCAATACGATAACTTTCAGGATCTAATTTGATTTCTTCTAAACATTTTCTAGCAGCTTCCTTTGGATCTGATTCTGCTGCCATTGTGGCAGGCGCCAAAATCATATAACTAAGAAAATTACTCAATTCAATTTAAACATCCACTTCTCAAAACTTATTTTCAAAAACAAAGGACGTAGTATTTTTTATAAAGGAATAATTAAAAGATTTCACAAATAATTTCAACTGTGAAAATGAAATCGAAAACAAGTGATTAATTCGATTTTAAAAAATATTTAATATAAATAAAATTCCGTTGTGATAGGATACTGTTTCTGTTTTTCACTTCCTAATTTGCATCTACTCTTTAATAATTATTAATTTTATTCTGGTTTCCTTACCGAAGCTTGAAATCAGGATATACCATCCTGTTGGGGAAACCTTTACGACAAATACGGATACCTTCAAGTACACCGTTACAAGTCAGCTGGTGCATTACCAAATGGGAGTCGATTACACCTGAAGTATAAAAAATAAGATGATTTTTTATCCTGTTTTGTTCGGTTAAGTAATTCGTTAATCGATTAATTTTTGACGTTACAAAAATGGTTATTGTAAATAAATATTACATTACTGTTGCTCTATCGAGTTTCAGTTGCGTTGGTTTTATTTTGCGTGGACGTTTTGTGAGCTTTACAGTCGCTTCTTCACGACGGACTACTGTCCTATCCTGAAGAAGAAAATTGTAAAACTCATAAAACCTCACTACAGAATAAAATCCATACGACTGAATCCCAAAGATAAATTGTAATGCAACAATCACGAATCGTCGTCAAAATTTAAAATCATTAATTAAATAAATTTTTTTTAAAGATAGTCATATTTTTGTAATTCCTAACTATACCAATTGCATTTTTCTGACGATCACATTACTGATTTTATAAAAATTGCCTTTTAAAAGTTTCTTTAAGGTATGCTAAAGTAAATTTTTTAAATTTTTTTGTCTATTTCATAAAAAAACAAAAACGGATTAAAAGAAAAAGAATGGAATCTAAAGAACTGAAAACAAAAGGTTGAATCTTGTAGGCTAACAAAATTTCTTTTAAGTTTATTGAGAAGATAATTAAATTAATAGTAAAACTTTCGGATACCTACAATGAAATCCAATAACCAATAAGTCACTTCTTGGATTATGACTAGTTATTTATTGTATAATATTTTGTGAGACCAAAAACCGATAAAATGGTTCAAGGTAAGATTAAATAGCCGAAAAATATTATAATTATGTTATATATAAAACTCTTGTTCCGAGGCATTCTTTTAATAGACTTACCAGGTTGTTTCAATTCGTTGGGAATGATACAACGTACGAAGTGGGGCTGAGTTGACCTCAGAGTGGTCATCAAGTTGTTCAATTGTTCCTAAAGGAATTTATGAACGTTAATTCTCACTGCTATCACTTGCGCGTCGATGTTAATTTTTTAATTTAAAAGCAAAAGCGTGGGTGCTGCGCTTAATCAGTAAAAGCAAAATTAGTCAGTTGTTCTTGTTTATTTTTTTTTTATAATGGTAGTGGTATAAAGACTCCTGTTCTTAGGTGTTTCACTATTGTTGAACAAAATCAGTGAACAATGAAAAAAATACTTTCACCTTATATCACAAAAAGAAAACGTAAAAAGAAAAAACACAGCTACAATCCCTTCTAAAAAGTAAATCTTTTTGTGTAAGTATGGGATTGTAGAGATACTGATATTTTTTACAAATGTATTACATAAATGAATGAGGGTTTTAATTGTGTGTCGAAGTATTAATAATAATTAATGGATATTTGGTCAAATGGTGCAAAAAATCATCCCTGTAACATGGTGCTTTTCACTATGAAACACCTAAATGCATAAGTACAATTTCAAATTACTGCAAGTGTATAAACACGAAATTACGAAAAAGACATTAATTATTGTTTAAAAATAATTTCGGATGTGTTTTATGCATTTGAGTGTTGGTACCAAATAACTAAGTCTCGTTATGGTATGGTATGAATTACATTAAGAGCAGACCTGGTGCTTCTCTACTTAAAGTGGAGTGTTCATAAATAAATCACACAGTGGGTCACTACTTTAGTTATTGTTTGTTTTAATCTACCTTATAAGCGGATGAGACGGTTGCAAAACCACCACCCTTTTTACCACGACCACCTATTGGAACAAAGCAGATTTCAAAGCATATTTACACGCTCTACAATTTTGCCATTTTTACGTACATCGTAATGATGTACATAACAAAAATTCAGTCCATTTCAATAAAATTATTATTTATTTTCATTTCGGGTTTCAGAATGGACTGCATTTTTCAGGCAGGGAACGTGAACTCTATATAAGTATGTAAAGGGATACAAATACAAGAATATGTTCGCAACATGTAGTTCAGCGATATTTACAAGAGCTATGGGAGAGAAAGGAACAGATACAGACTGTTTTATTTTCTTTTTCTAGCCTTTGAAGTATTTTTGATGTTTTGTAAAAACTTTAAAATTGTATATCCTAAATTGATGTCTGTATCTGATAAAGGATTGGGATAACTCAGCTCAATGTCCTTGCAGAGCAGAGAAGACAGTTACCCTGTATAAACTGGATACGGTCTGGAAACCGGAACCTTTTTGACGTTTCTGACCTGTATGCAATCAGAATATTATTTAAGATCAGGTGAAAAGGTTTCAACATTATGTGGTACTATTGGTATTAGGGATTCATAATTGTACTCCACATAATTTGGGAAAGGATTGATAAGGTGGGTTTTTATTTTTTGCAAGTTTACTTCTGTAATAGAGATTCAATTATTATAGTCACAAGAATTTCTAAAATTCTAGAATAGAGGCAATTAATAAAGGCTAAAAATTTTTTTTATAACTCATGTTTCATTATTAATCCTTAATAAACTGCCTCCTTGTAAATTAAGGTACGCTATTAAACAATTTAAAAATTATTTGCTGATTTTTGTTAAAAATCTTTTAATGTCCAAAAATTAATTTGCTCCATTTTCAAAATCAGCGAAATTGGTAAAAATCATTCATTTTAAATGATCTTTCAATTACTCCCAACTTATAACCAGGCTTAACTTTAACGAAAAGTAGTAAATATTACCTTTGCCACCACCAGCATCAGCTTGACCAGATTGACCGGGATGATCGGCGAAGATTTCTTGCAACAATTTGTTGCTACCCTTCTTGTACAAGTCAACAACGGTGTCGTTCAGAGGGTCCTTGTTCTTTTCTAACCAACCGGTTATGTTATAGGGTACCTAGACGTAATTTCAACAAGTCGATATAAAAAACAAATGGTTCCCGTCGTGATGAAGGCTTACGTTTCCGGCGTAATGACCAATGGCGAAGTGGGCAGCTTGTTGACCAGGCTTTGGTGGTTTGGGCTTCATGAAGTTGGGCGATTTACCCAAGTGGTTGTTGTTCAACTTTTCTTCAAAGGTCTTGTCGGTAGCCTTGGGGAACATAGACTCTTCTTCAAGAATGGAGAGGATACCCATAGGCTAAGAACAAGTTTGATATAGGAACTGCATTTGGGTCATTGAAATGACAACACTTGTAATTTGTTTATTAGCAGTCTCTTTGTTTTTTGCCTATCGTACTTCGATTTAAAGGAAGTGATAATTTTTTACTGCTTAAATTAAACGCTCAGTGTCCAAACTCTGTGAAAAATACTTTTAAAACGTTCTGCTACGGGTGCGATTCGAACTCGCCATGTCTAGTTTCGAAAGTCACTGCTTTACTCATTGAGCCAATTTTACCACTAAAGATTATAAGTGTTGCCATACATAATAAGAAACTGTATTTACATAAAGCATGCGTTACCTTCCAAGCGTTGTGGCATCGAGCTTTGTGCAATATTGATTTTTGGGTCAGATACATAATAACGAATCTACTGTGCATTTCAATTGATGTATATATAGGAACATGTATAATAATACGTGTAAATACTAAAAAGATAACACGAAAAGAAGTGCTTAATTTTTTACTGTTAATAAAGTAAATTGCATGACCGTGTGGTAGGGAAACGGTCTACCTTTTCGATCAAATTTATCGCGGGTTGTAAGTCCATTCCAAAATCTATAAACGTCCAAGGAATTTTTTCTCTTTCGTACTCTTCTTGTTCCAAAATGAACATGTGATGATTATAAAATTGTTGCAATTTTTCGTTGGCAAAATTAATGCACAGTTGATTAAAACCGTTGTACTGCAACATTTAGTAGAAGCGTAATCACAACAAACAGACAGTCAGACAAGAAAAACAAATAAACACAGAAAAACATTAGCACAGTCGAGGTATACATAAGTCTATATCACCAATGTTAATAATTTCTAATAGTGTCTTCTTATGATAGGAGATAATAAATGTTGATACAGAATTATTTATTAGCAGAGCAGTGTACATTTTGAAGAAGAAGTGACAGCGATTGAGTCGGTTAATTTTGATTGGAGTCATTTTTTTTTTTTGGTAATTTGCTACGTCCAGTTACCTTTTCGATTAGGTCAATACAAGCAACTAAGTCCATGCCAAAATCAATGAAGGCCCACTCGATTCCTTCTCTTTGATATTCTTCTTGTTCGAGAACGAACATGTGGTGGTTAAAGAATTGTTGTAACTTTTCATTTGTAAAGTTGATGCACAACTGCTCAAAACTGTTAAACTACATGGAATATTAGTCACAGAGGTTACATACACTGACGATGCTTTCTGGAAGCACCGCCCGATTATATACAGTTTTCTCTTTGATTAGCACAAATGAAACAAATAGAACAGAAAATGTGTCAGGTGTTTTGTGTGAGTAGTAAAATTCGAAAGCTCCTTGGTACGGCCCGCAGTGTTAAAACAAGTATGGTAGATTCGCCCATGTTAAGACATGTAGATATTCGCATAGCTGCTGCATTGTGCTCCTCATTCTTTTCGCATTTGTTGTAACTCGTCTCGCGATTAATTACCTTTTCGATCAAGTCAATACAAGCTACTAAGTCCATTCCAAAGTCAATAAATGTCCACTCAATACCTTCCTGTCGGTATTCTTCTTGTTCAAGTACGAACATGTGATGGTTAAAGAATTGTTGTAGTTTTTCGTTTGTGAAGTTGATGCAGAGTTGTTCAAAACTGTTAAACTGCATCGAAGGAAGGATTGATTAGTGATTAAAGTGTGCACTCTAGACAGCATCCCGATCCATGGAGAATGCTGAACATGATTCTACTTAAAACTACAGTGACTAAGTGACTAAATGGAGATAGTGGTGATAAGAAGTGTCCAGTGTAATTTTTCCTAGTATTGGAACCTCATCTGCAACAGCCAAGCTAACCAAAAAACACGACTCGCTTAAGATGTACAGTAACTGCAAAGGGTGGTTACGCCCTTCGTTGATGTGTCTCAGATAACCAAGAAACCCAGCGCTCCGTCCATGGGGCGCTAGTCAACTAACATACCAAACACTATTAAAGCAACGAAAAGACTTTTGGAAACTACCCATTCGAACCATTCATTGGTATTTGAACCTATAACGGAATTCATGCACAAAAAACCCTTCTTTGGATTTTGACAAGTCCGCCAAGGGTAGGCAAATACAACATCTACCTTTCGGATAATATAAACAACGTTCTGGACCTTTTCCTGAAATTACCTTCTCAATTAACTCAATACAAGCAAGCAAATCCATCCCGAAATCAATGAACTGCCACTGAATACCTTCCTGTTGGTATTCCTCTTGTTCCAGTACGAACATGTGATGGTTAAAGAATTGTTGCAATTTTTCGTTGGTAAAGTTAATACATAGTTGTTCAAACCCGTTGTACTGTACAAAACATTTAAAATACATTCACATGGTGCAAATTGTACACGAATCCTACCCTCAAACAGAACCTAACGCAAAAACTTTGACAAATACAAAAAAAAATTAACCAAAAAAGAATATGCTAACAAGCATCCATGTTAGACTGCAACTTAAAATACCTTTTCAATAAGTTCAATACAAGCAAGCAAGTCCATTCCGAAATCAATGAACTCCCAGTGGATTCCTTCACGGGTGTACTCTTCTTGTTCCAGTACGAACATGTGATGGTTAAAGAATTGCTGAAGTTTTTCGTTTGTGAAGTTAATGCAAAGCTGTTCAAAGCCGTTATACTGTTTGCGAAAATAAAGATAATAATCAAATAAAAAATAAAAAATAAAAAAACGAATAAAAAAAAGCAGAGGAGATATGGAATGACGCGTCAAAAGTATAGAAAATAGAATAGCTGAAAAGTCGTAGATAATTTTAAAATGCCTACAATAAGTAAAGTATATAAGACAATAAAAATATCTAAATAAAAATTCCTGTAAAAAAGAAATTGCAACAAGGAAAATGGAAGATGAATTACACGGTTTCTCAACCTCTTATTGTGATAAATTCATTGTAAACGATTTTGTTATGCTTCTTCTTCCATTTTTCTTTTATTTTTCAAAAATGCATACGTCTACAATAGAGACGCATTTTTTTCGAACTTACATCGAAAATTTCAAAACCAGCAATATCCAGTACACCAATGAAGTGCTGTCTCTTTTGTTTGGTGTCCAGGGTTTCGTTACACTTCTTGACAAGGAACTTGAACAGCCTGTCAAACATAGCCTTTGCCAAGGCACCAACGGAGTAGTTGACCTGGGCAACGTTACGACCCTGTGTGACGAATTCGTTACCGACCTTGATTCTTGGTTTCAAGAGGGCAGTAACAAAGCCTTGGGTATCAATTCCTAACAATTTGGCCACACGCTCGGCTTCCTGATTTAATAGAAAAAAAAATAAAAGAAATCGGTAAAATATTTTGATTCTACGGTTTTCTATCAACGTACTTCTGTGCCATCGGCTTCAGCTTGTTCTTCACGACCCAACTTCATACCACCCATGTGCATGACGGCGGCAGTGATCTTGTAAATATCATTCTTCTCTTCTTGGGTGAAACCCAAAACGTCGAAAGCTTCCTGTAAGTCAGTTAGTTACCTATATTTCCGCACCGAATATTATAACGTGTTCATTAGTAAGAAGTAGAAGCTGCAAATTATTTACAATAAGCCAAGACAGAGTTTCATCTGGACGTGAAATTGCAAGAGTGCACAAAAAAAAGCGAAATATACAGGAGGGTACAAGCTGCAAGGGTAATATTTAGTAAGTAGAAATTTATATGTACGTAATATATACACAAGGGCGGAAATCTTTACAAGTAGTGGGTTAAAAGTTTATCTCACATCAGTTCGAGACAATTTGGCAAGATTGTGTGTGTACCCACATATGTACACGTGTTGGAAGTTATACTTCTATTTACATACATATTTTTTGCTCCGTGTAAAACATATCTAATAATAATTATTAACTTTCATATTTAAACAACAGGCCACAACAAAATAAAAAGATTAAAATGAAATGCCAGCAGTCATTGTCGCCTTTTCATTTTGTTATTCATATTTTAAAACAGCCTCGTGAAAGCAGCTAATGTGTTCGATTACAGATGACAGTTATCGTTGACAGGTGCAACTGACAGTTGTGGGCTGCGCGCGCAACTTCCGTTGCTTGCTAAATTTTACTCTCAATGCACTAAAAGAAGTATAACTTTAACAAGAAAAACAGTCAGTTTGGTTTGAAGTCTCAAATGGGGTCTCTACATTTAAAATTAACCAAAAACAACGAAAGGTTTATCATCACGATGGTTGCTTTGACTTAAATGGTCATTTACTTACATCTGTAAGAGTTAATTCCTCTGCGTCGTCAACATTAGGAATAGTAATTTTACCCTGGGATACGAAATAGTACTCGTAGATGTCGTTAGATAGTAAGCAGAATTCTAAAGCAAAGCAAAATAAAGCGGGTTAATCAATGAGTCAAAAGTAAAATCGAACTTAATATCAGTAACGTAAAATGCGTTGCGTGAAGATAACAGTAGCAAGAAAATGCGTCTTCTCTTCTTCACAATGAAGGCAGCAGCTGTTGGCAAATGAGATAGAGCTAAAGAAAGAGTGTAGAAATTATAATATAAGTTAATAAAATATGTAGTGCGAGAAAAATTAGAGACGAACGCAACGTGTAGCATGTAGTAGCCGCAACGATACTGTAAAAGACAGCTGAGCATCTGACAGCACATTGTTGTATTCTGCAAATATAGCGTGTTTACTGAATCCCAGGGTTGCATCGTAGATCTTTGTACATTAGAAACGTTGTTAATTTTTTTTTACATATGTACAGTATGTACACAGGGAGCAAGCGATGCCTAGACATGAAATCTGCAAACTGCCCAAACGAAACAAAAAAAATTGTGACAAAAGAAGGGATCCTTTAAAATCCTTTCTTACCGAAACAAAAAACAAGTGTTCAAAAAATATTGAAAAATTATGGAATTTTCGTGTCCTGATATTGTTTTTTTTTTTTGGGGTGGTCCCTTCCTTTTTAGGGGCCCGCTGGCTCCCTTTTTGGGTGAGTAAGCGGATCACTAGACGCTTACATTGGTCACCATCCCTTCATGGTAGTCGTCGACTCCATGGATATGGGTTTGCCCTCCACTGATAAATGGATAGTCGTATATCCAATTTGACAAGAAGCACGTTTCTGAGGCAGATTAGACAGATCACATACACTAGGCATAGCTTTCTTGTTAACGCTAGAGGAATAACACTTGCAAGAAGAACTACATGTTAATCACATACATATATATTGAGAGAAAGAGTGAGACAGATAGATAGATAGAGAGAAAGAGATAGAGACATAGATGGCATGCGCACATAAAGGGTATAGTCATTTAAAGAATTAATAAAACCGTTGTTTTTGCGTTTATTGTTATTATCAGTTTCTTTGATAAGCCATTAGGAATTGTATTAGTGCTCAGGTATCTTACGTCAGTTATTCTAAATTCCTCGCCGTCATCGAGGCCAGGGATTGTGGTCTTTCCTTGCGATACGAAGGGATACTCAAGTATGTTTTTACCAAGGTTGCATATTTCTGTGGGGGTAATTGAGGATAAGTAATAATTTGTCGAGTCTCAAAACGACTTTAGGGTAATTAATCAATATTAGTGTTAAATATCGGATCGATTTCTTGAGCTGTTCGTGAGCACCAAGTAATCTTCGAATTGTTGAAGGGTATGGGAAGAAATTAATTTTATATTAACAACTTGAGAGAATCGTCTCGGTATTCTCTCAGTCTCATGTTGTTGTTATGGTAAAGGGACGGTTCTATTATTTACATTATAGGTTCGAGTGTTGTCCTTACTACTCGATCTTTTTTTTTTATTCATAAAAATTTAGAATTATACGTATATGTACAAGCGGTAGTGACGCAAACTACAACATTCCAATTAGAGTGATAAAAAACGTAGTGCCATTTCAACTGGCACTTACATCGGTTAGTCTCATTTCTTCACCATCATCTACTCCGGGAATACTTGTTTTTCCTTGCGCAACGTAGTAATAATCCTGAACATTATTAGACAGCAAACACATGTCTAAACGGAATATAAATGTTATTATTGACTCCTGGACAAGGTGTCTTAAAATACAAGCATTTATGTATTATTATTATTATTAAAATCATTAAGGGGGTCGTGTAATTCGTTTAAATGTTAAATCAGTTCAATCACGTTCTGAAATAAATTACGACAACTTCAACTTTGAAGTATATATTATCATTCCTGGGGATGCATTTAGAGAGTAAGAGATCTTGAATAGGACATCCACTATTTCAAACAAGAGATAAAGAGGGAAACATAAATCAATAAAATTGGGTCACGATCTAGAACTTGTAAGTTTTGATCACTATACCACAGATAATTTTGATTAATCACCAACACAATCGAAAGTGATGACATCAGTATATAGCTACTGTTAACTGTAGTATTTCATAGCGTTTGTCTTACCCTTACTAAGACAGCAATCTAAATTGACCAAATTTACAATGTCTGGTATAGATCTAAACTAAAAATTTTATTAAAAAAGTTCAAAGAATTTAGTATGGAACTAATAAAAAAAACTATTATTAATTTACTTTACGTAAATAATTCAGTTTGCAGTAAAAAAGTGGATGTCCCTTTTTATTACCAATGACAATCGTTCGAATATATTCCTGATAATTCCCCTGAAAATGTTTCATCAATTACGTGGATATTGTCTCACCTTTTACTCCAGGGACGGCTCCGGACATAATTTGGTAGAAGATGTGGTAAGATCTTTCAAGAGGCTGTTGGGAGATGACACGAGCCTTTTCCAGTAGATCTGTTACGAGGAGATGTTATCATTTAATAATATTTAGTTGTTAACTAGAGCTTCTTATTTAGCTTACAAGTTTCAATGTCAGCACCAGCTAGTTTACCAGTGGGACCGAAGTGAATACGAATGAATTTACCCTAAACAATTTAAAATTGGTGTTATTACAAGAGATATCTTATCAATTCTGTTGATAAACGTACGAAACGAGATGAGTTATCGTTACGGACGGTCTTGGCGTTACCAAAGGCTTCAAGTACAGGGTTAGTTTGGACGACCTGGTCTTCTAAACTGCCCTTTTTCGAGTCACTTTCGGTTTTCTTGGTACTGGCACCAACTGTCGCGAAATACGCAATTACCTTCTTCGTGTTCTCAGTCTTTCCGGCACCAGATTCACCACTGCATCATAAAATGTGTACATCGTCAGAACAAACATATAAATTAGTAAATGGTAGAATAGTAACAATCTCATTTTCCTGAGAAGAACGACAATATCCGTTTAGAGAGGATTAATCATTTAAATCAAAATAAGTTACAATTGATAGACAGCCACCGTTTAGCGAAGAACTCGTTCATAAAGTGGTTAAGTCTGCAGAAGGGACCTTTTGAGCAAATCAAGAGAGTGATTAGAACATATTTGACTTGATTTACCTAAAAGTCCGCTCTTGGCGACACTTCACCAGTTCATCAACAAATTCCTCGCTAAGCAAGAGCTGTCTTACGCAGAATGTCATTTAAAAAAAACTAAAACTTTTGGATGTTTCATTCCCACCAGTCAGTAATGCTGGTGCGCGGGCAGTCCCTTCGGACTACGCCAGAAGGTGGGGCGGAAGACCTTCTTCAGCTTCCTTTCAGGAATCGTGGGAATGGGTGGGTGGTAGTTCGGGTGAGAAAGATGAAACGGACTAAATGAAGACAGAAGAGAATGAAAGATTATCTGCCCCAACATTTGCCTATGTAATCCAAGAAAAACTGGGACCAAGACAGACGGACCCCGAATGCTAAGAAATGGTCTAAACCTCTGGGTCATGCCACTCGGTAGAATGTCACATAATGTAGGCTTATGACCGCTTGCAAAAACACCCTACATTTTAGAACAGATCAAAGAAGTGACGCTGTGGTATAGAATATCTTTATACCATGGTTTGAGAAGAGTGTTCTCAAAAAGATCGAGAAGTTCCAAAACAATATAGATAGGTAGGTGATGGGTGATATTATGTAAAAGAAAGTACTTTTACACAAGACCCGGTAAATAAATAAATAGCTACTAGAAGATTCGTTACAATATTATCGTTCTTTTTCTTTCAGGAATGAAATTGCTTCATTTTTATTGGATGTAAATGATACTTACGTAATCAACATGGATTGATTTTCATGGTCTGAAAAGTAAAACATAATCATGTAGTATTATGTGTTAATATTTTAATACAATATCAACTTACTGGTCAACATGTTTACGTAGGCACCGTCAGAAATGGCGAAAATGTGGGGTGGCACTTCATTTCTCCTTTTACCACGGTAGAGTTTGGCACAACGATGGGTGTACACAGGGAACCTCTTGTAAGGGTTGATGGCGACGCAAAACAGACCAGAGTATGTCTAGTGGAAACAAAGTTACTCAGAAATGTGCAAAAGTCTGGTATTAGTAAATCGATCCCCGTCCATTTCACGTGGAGGGATAAAATGGGTTAAGTAGTTGATCACACCTTTTAATCAATATCAGTCCACTTTCTATAGTGGTAGTTAGATTACAATGGATTAATCATAAGAAAAATTCGTCCGATAGCTAACCTCTCCTTTGGTATACTGTAGATATGGAGAGGTGGCTATCAGTAGCATTATTTCTAAAAAAAACCAACAATCCACTTTTTGTGGGGATGTACAAGTTAATTTTAATATTAAGACACATTAGAACACAACATAATAAATGGAGTCTCTTTCGTATAGAGATGGCACCAGAGATAATCACACAAAACGCTCTGATGCTACAACATGAAGAAGAAAAGTACATAAAATCCGACTAGACCTTTGTCGGTTGAAATATGAGTAGTATTTTACCTAAGAGTCCTTCATAGTCAAAACAGAAGGTTCGATGATTCATTAAAAAACATATAGTCACTCGATGAATGATGATATCTACTCCTAATTGTTCAGGTAATGTATTCATGTGAGCAGATTTTCAGAAACATCTTCACTGGACGGCGTACTACCGTATTTTCCAGCTGAGCATGGATTAATTAACGAGGAAGGGGGAGACGCAGGATGAAAGGGATTTAGAAGGTCGAGTGAGAATGAGTTTAGCAAAAGCTCCCATTCATTCTTCATCCACTTACATAGATCAACTTAGCCACATATCTGGATTTTAAATTGTACAAAACCGACGCATCATTGAGATATGTCAAGTTAGACATATCCTCGCATTTTTCGAATTTAGGTGGATTGACTTGTTGCACCTGTTCCTTCTTGAAGTTTTTCTCCTAATCAATAGAGAGAAAGAACGTTAATATCGTCTAATGGATACTTACATAGATAAGTTTGCAGTAGTAACGCTGTTTCAAGTTGTGCAAAACAGCAGCTTCGTTAAGAAAAGTCAAGTCGGCCATGTCTTCGACTTTCTCGAATTTCGGCGGGTTTACTTGGAACAACGAGTCCTTCTTAAGTGTTCGTTCCTAATAGCAAGCACAACAACTTTAAGTGAAAAAGAATAATTTCGATAACTAATACTATACAGAAGCTTCTACAACTAAAGGAAATCATAGCCAATTGTATTTCCTGGGTCAATTTATTGTGTAAAACATGATGCAAAAGTTTTCTCGAGTTTCTTTTGCTGTCCCGGACCATAATCAGTAAGGAATTTTAATCCAAAGGATTATTCACTTTTGTTTTACATCCTAAGTTTTAATTTTAATTCAAAACTGTTTGTATAATTTTCAAATTCTGCTAATTTCATTTATTCAATATTAGATCTGAAGCTATAATCGGTTGCTAATTTAATTCTAATTAAAGTATCAACTATGACGTGTTATTTTATTTTAAGCATTAAAAATTTTCAATTACTTTTGTTTTCTATATACCAGATTATTATTATTCAATGATTAGAATTTAATTTAACTATCTCGGACTACTTTAAACTTAGTTAACTTGTGATTGAAAACCTCGTCTTAACTCCCTTATTTTTTGAAATTTCCTACGTAACATTATACAGGCAAATGAATTTGATTAAGGTCATTCAAGAATTTCCAAAATAGTCGTCGATTTTATTGGGTAAATAACTTCTGTTTGTTTCGCGGTGGTTGCGACTCTTCATTACCTCTCCTCCGGGGATTCCAACGGTGACCAAGTCACCCTTAGTTCCTCGGATTTCTCCGAGCAGGAAACCTTCTTTCTCGTCTGGCACCCAGCAGGACTTCTTGGCATCGTAGGGCTTAGTTTGGTCAATACGTTTTTGCTCAAGAGAGACGAAGAGGTATGGGGTTGGATCGGGATCCTCTTCGGCAGCTGCTTCCTNAAAAAAAATAAAAGAAATCGGTAAAATATTTTGATTCTACGGTTTTCTATCAACGTACTTCTGTGCCATCGGCTTCAGCTTGTTCTTCACGACCCCTCTGTTTGAACTTCATACCACCCATGTGCATGACGGCGGCAGTGATCTTGTAAATATCATTCTTCTCTTCTTGGGTGAAACCCAAAACGTCGAAAGCTTCCTGTAAGTCAGTTAGTTACCTATATTTCCGCACCGAATATTATAACGTGTTCATTAGTAAGAAGTAGAAGCTGCAAATTATTTACAATAAGCCAAGACAGAGTTTCATCTGGACGTGAAATTGCAAGAGTGCACAAAAAAAAGCGAAATATACAGGAGGGTACAAGCTGCAAGGGTAATATTTAGTAAGTAGAAATTTATATGTACGTAATATATACACAAGGGCGGAAATCTTTACAAGTAGTGGGTTAAAAGTTTATCTCACATCAGTTCGAGACAATTTGGCAAGATTGTGTGTGTACCCACATATGTACACGTGTTGGAAGTTATACTTCTATTTACATACATATTTTTTGCTCCGTGTAAAACATATCTAATAATAATTATTAACTTTCATATTTAAACAACAGGCCACAACAAAATAAAAAGATTAAAATGAAATGCCAGCAGTCATTGTCGCCTTTTCATTTTGTTATTCATATTTTAAAACAGCCTCGTGAAAGCAGCTAATGTGTTCGATTACAGATGACAGTTATCGTTGACAGGTGCAACTGACAGTTGTGGGCTGCGCGCGCAACTTCCGTTGCTTGCTAAATTTTACTCTCAATGCACTAAAAGAAGTATAACTTTAACAAGAAAAACAGTCAGTTTGGTTTGAAGTCTCAAATGGGGTCTCTACATTTAAAATTAACCAAAAACAACGAAAGGTTTATCATCACGATGGTTGCTTTGACTTAAATGGTCATTTACTTACATCTGTAAGAGTTAATTCCTCTGCGTCGTCAACATTAGGAATAGTAATTTTACCCTGGGATACGAAATAGTACTCGTAGATGTCGTTAGATAGTAAGCAGAATTCTAAAGCAAAGCAAAATAAAGCGGGTTAATCAATGAGTCAAAAGTAAAATCGAACTTAATATCAGTAACGTAAAATGCGTTGCGTGAAGATAACAGTAGCAAGAAAATGCGTCTTCTCTTCTTCACAATGAAGGCAGCAGCTGTTGGCAAATGAGATAGAGCTAAAGAAAGAGTGTAGAAATTATAATATAAGTTAATAAAATATGTAGTGCGAGAAAAATTAGAGACGAACGCAACGTGTAGCATGTAGTAGCCGCAACGATACTGTAAAAGACAGCTGAGCATCTGACAGCACATTGTTGTATTCTGCAAATATAGCGTGTTTACTGAATCCCAGGGTTGCATCGTAGATCTTTGTACATTAGAAACGTTGTTAATTTTTTTTTACATATGTACAGTATGTACACAGGGAGCAAGCGATGCCTAGACATGAAATCTGCAAACTGCCCAAACGAAACAAAAAAAATTGTGACAAAAGAAGGGATCCTTTAAAATCCTTTCTTACCGAAACAAAAAACAAGTGTTCAAAAAATATTGAAAAATTATGGAATTTTCGTGTCCTGATATTGTTTTTTTTTTTTGGGGTGGTCCCTTCCTTTTTAGGGGCCCGCTGGCTCCCTTTTTGGGTGAGTAAGCGGATCACTAGACGCTTACATTGGTCACCATCCCTTCATGGTAGTCGTCGACTCCATGGATATGGGTTTGCCCTCCACTGATAAATGGATAGTCGTATATCCAATTTGACAAGAAGCACGTTTCTGAGGCAGATTAGACAGATCACATACACTAGGCATAGCTTTCTTGTTAACGCTAGAGGAATAACACTTGCAAGAAGAACTACATGTTAATCACATACATATATATTGAGAGAAAGAGTGAGACAGATAGATAGATAGAGAGAAAGAGATAGAGACATAGATGGCATGCGCACATAAAGGGTATAGTCATTTAAAGAATTAATAAAACCGTTGTTTTTGCGTTTATTGTTATTATCAGTTTCTTTGATAAGCCATTAGGAATTGTATTAGTGCTCAGGTATCTTACGTCAGTTATTCTAAATTCCTCGCCGTCATCGAGGCCAGGGATTGTGGTCTTTCCTTGCGATACGAAGGGATACTCAAGTATGTTTTTACCAAGGTTGCATATTTCTGTGGGGGTAATTGAGGATAAGTAATAATTTGTCGAGTCTCAAAACGACTTTAGGGTAATTAATCAATATTAGTGTTAAATATCGGATCGATTTCTTGAGCTGTTCGTGAGCACCAAGTAATCTTCGAATTGTTGAAGGGTATGGGAAGAAATTAATTTTATATTAACAACTTGAGAGAATCGTCTCGGTATTCTCTCAGTCTCATGTTGTTGTTATGGTAAAGGGACGGTTCTATTATTTACATTATAGGTTCGAGTGTTGTCCTTACTACTCGATCTTTTTTTTTTATTCATAAAAATTTAGAATTATACGTATATGTACAAGCGGTAGTGACGCAAACTACAACATTCCAATTAGAGTGATAAAAAACGTAGTGCCATTTCAACTGGCACTTACATCGGTTAGTCTCATTTCTTCACCATCATCTACTCCGGGAATACTTGTTTTTCCTTGCGCAACGTAGTAATAATCCTGAACATTATTAGACAGCAAACACATGTCTAAACGGAATATAAATGTTATTATTGACTCCTGGACAAGGTGTCTTAAAATACAAGCATTTATGTATTATTATTATTATTAAAATCATTAAGGGGGTCGTGTAATTCGTTTAAATGTTAAATCAGTTCAATCACGTTCTGAAATAAATTACGACAACTTCAACTTTGAAGTATATATTATCATTCCTGGGGATGCATTTAGAGAGTAAGAGATCTTGAATAGGACATCCACTATTTCAAACAAGAGATAAAGAGGGAAACATAAATCAATAAAATTGGGTCACGATCTAGAACTTGTAAGTTTTGATCACTATACCACAGATAATTTTGATTAATCACCAACACAATCGAAAGTGATGACATCAGTATATAGCTACTGTTAACTGTAGTATTTCATAGCGTTTGTCTTACCCTTACTAAGACAGCAATCTAAATTGACCAAATTTACAATGTCTGGTATAGATCTAAACTAAAAATTTTATTAAAAAAGTTCAAAGAATTTAGTATGGAACTAATAAAAAAAACTATTATTAATTTACTTTACGTAAATAATTCAGTTTGCAGTAAAAAAGTGGATGTCCCTTTTTATTACCAATGACAATCGTTCGAATATATTCCTGATAATTCCCCTGAAAATGTTTCATCAATTACGTGGATATTGTCTCACCTTTTACTCCAGGGACGGCTCCGGACATAATTTGGTAGAAGATGTGGTAAGATCTTTCAAGAGGCTGTTGGGAGATGACACGAGCCTTTTCCAGTAGATCTGTTACGAGGAGATGTTATCATTTAATAATATTTAGTTGTTAACTAGAGCTTCTTATTTAGCTTACAAGTTTCAATGTCAGCACCAGCTAGTTTACCAGTGGGACCGAAGTGAATACGAATGAATTTACCCTAAACAATTTAAAATTGGTGTTATTACAAGAGATATCTTATCAATTCTGTTGATAAACGTACGAAACGAGATGAGTTATCGTTACGGACGGTCTTGGCGTTACCAAAGGCTTCAAGTACAGGGTTAGTTTGGACGACCTGGTCTTCTAAACTGCCCTTTTTCGAGTCACTTTCGGTTTTCTTGGTACTGGCACCAACTGTCGCGAAATACGCAATTACCTTCTTCGTGTTCTCAGTCTTTCCGGCACCAGATTCACCACTGCATCATAAAATGTGTACATCGTCAGAACAAACATATAAATTAGTAAATGGTAGAATAGTAACAATCTCATTTTCCTGAGAAGAACGACAATATCCGTTTAGAGAGGATTAATCATTTAAATCAAAATAAGTTACAATTGATAGACAGCCACCGTTTAGCGAAGAACTCGTTCATAAAGTGGTTAAGTCTGCAGAAGGGACCTTTTGAGCAAATCAAGAGAGTGATTAGAACATATTTGACTTGATTTACCTAAAAGTCCGCTCTTGGCGACACTTCACCAGTTCATCAACAAATTCCTCGCTAAGCAAGAGCTGTCTTACGCAGAATGTCATTTAAAAAAAACTAAAACTTTTGGATGTTTCATTCCCACCAGTCAGTAATGCTGGTGCGCGGGCAGTCCCTTCGGACTACGCCAGAAGGTGGGGCGGAAGACCTTCTTCAGCTTCCTTTCAGGAATCGTGGGAATGGGTGGGTGGTAGTTCGGGTGAGAAAGATGAAACGGACTAAATGAAGACAGAAGAGAATGAAAGATTATCTGCCCCAACATTTGCCTATGTAATCCAAGAAAAACTGGGACCAAGACAGACGGACCCCGAATGCTAAGAAATGGTCTAAACCTCTGGGTCATGCCACTCGGTAGAATGTCACATAATGTAGGCTTATGACCGCTTGCAAAAACACCCTACATTTTAGAACAGATCAAAGAAGTGACGCTGTGGTATAGAATATCTTTATACCATGGTTTGAGAAGAGTGTTCTCAAAAAGATCGAGAAGTTCCAAAACAATATAGATAGGTAGGTGATGGGTGATATTATGTAAAAGAAAGTACTTTTACACAAGACCCGGTAAATAAATAAATAGCTACTAGAAGATTCGTTACAATATTATCGTTCTTTTTCTTTCAGGAATGAAATTGCTTCATTTTTATTGGATGTAAATGATACTTACGTAATCAACATGGATTGATTTTCATGGTCTGAAAAGTAAAACATAATCATGTAGTATTATGTGTTAATATTTTAATACAATATCAACTTACTGGTCAACATGTTTACGTAGGCACCGTCAGAAATGGCGAAAATGTGGGGTGGCACTTCATTTCTCCTTTTACCACGGTAGAGTTTGGCACAACGATGGGTGTACACAGGGAACCTCTTGTAAGGGTTGATGGCGACGCAAAACAGACCAGAGTATGTCTAGTGGAAACAAAGTTACTCAGAAATGTGCAAAAGTCTGGTATTAGTAAATCGATCCCCGTCCATTTCACGTGGAGGGATAAAATGGGTTAAGTAGTTGATCACACCTTTTAATCAATATCAGTCCACTTTCTATAGTGGTAGTTAGATTACAATGGATTAATCATAAGAAAAATTCGTCCGATAGCTAACCTCTCCTTTGGTATACTGTAGATATGGAGAGGTGGCTATCAGTAGCATTATTTCTAAAAAAAACCAACAATCCACTTTTTGTGGGGATGTACAAGTTAATTTTAATATTAAGACACATTAGAACACAACATAATAAATGGAGTCTCTTTCGTATAGAGATGGCACCAGAGATAATCACACAAAACGCTCTGATGCTACAACATGAAGAAGAAAAGTACATAAAATCCGACTAGACCTTTGTCGGTTGAAATATGAGTAGTATTTTACCTAAGAGTCCTTCATAGTCAAAACAGAAGGTTCGATGATTCATTAAAAAACATATAGTCACTCGATGAATGATGATATCTACTCCTAATTGTTCAGGTAATGTATTCATGTGAGCAGATTTTCAGAAACATCTTCACTGGACGGCGTACTACCGTATTTTCCAGCTGAGCATGGATTAATTAACGAGGAAGGGGGAGACGCAGGATGAAAGGGATTTAGAAGGTCGAGTGAGAATGAGTTTAGCAAAAGCTCCCATTCATTCTTCATCCACTTACATAGATCAACTTAGCCACATATCTGGATTTTAAATTGTACAAAACCGACGCATCATTGAGATATGTCAAGTTAGACATATCCTCGCATTTTTCGAATTTAGGTGGATTGACTTGTTGCACCTGTTCCTTCTTGAAGTTTTTCTCCTAATCAATAGAGAGAAAGAACGTTAATATCGTCTAATGGATACTTACATAGATAAGTTTGCAGTAGTAACGCTGTTTCAAGTTGTGCAAAACAGCAGCTTCGTTAAGAAAAGTCAAGTCGGCCATGTCTTCGACTTTCTCGAATTTCGGCGGGTTTACTTGGAACAACGAGTCCTTCTTAAGTGTTCGTTCCTAATAGCAAGCACAACAACTTTAAGTGAAAAAGAATAATTTCGATAACTAATACTATACAGAAGCTTCTACAACTAAAGGAAATCATAGCCAATTGTATTTCCTGGGTCAATTTATTGTGTAAAACATGATGCAAAAGTTTTCTCGAGTTTCTTTTGCTGTCCCGGACCATAATCAGTAAGGAATTTTAATCCAAAGGATTATTCACTTTTGTTTTACATCCTAAGTTTTAATTTTAATTCAAAACTGTTTGTATAATTTTCAAATTCTGCTAATTTCATTTATTCAATATTAGATCTGAAGCTATAATCGGTTGCTAATTTAATTCTAATTAAAGTATCAACTATGACGTGTTATTTTATTTTAAGCATTAAAAATTTTCAATTACTTTTGTTTTCTATATACCAGATTATTATTATTCAATGATTAGAATTTAATTTAACTATCTCGGACTACTTTAAACTTAGTTAACTTGTGATTGAAAACCTCGTCTTAACTCCCTTATTTTTTGAAATTTCCTACGTAACATTATACAGGCAAATGAATTTGATTAAGGTCATTCAAGAATTTCCAAAATAGTCGTCGATTTTATTGGGTAAATAACTTCTGTTTGTTTCGCGGTGGTTGCGACTCTTCATTACCTCTCCTCCGGGGATTCCAACGGTGACCAAGTCACCCTTAGTTCCTCGGATTTCTCCGAGCAGGAAACCTTCTTTCTCGTCTGGCACCCAGCAGGACTTCTTGGCATCGTAGGGCTTAGTTTGGTCAATACGTTTTTGCTCAAGAGAGACGAAGAGGTATGGGGTTGGATCGGGATCCTCTTCGGCAGCTGCTTCCTTTTTTGGCATGATGAATGAGTACTTTTGAAACTGGGGCGAGAAGAGATTATAAACGTAGCCCTAGAGCCTTCCTATCGATAAGAAAAAAACAATATAAAATACAGAAGAGTCAGCAATGTTGTTAGGTTAGATTGGATTCCAGAACCTCAAATTTGCTTATTTAAATTTAATTTGTTGAACAATTTATTTGGCGAGAGTCACGGTGATTCTCAAAATTATTTAATTTATATAAAGAAATTTTCGGTCAGGAATCCCATGTGCTGCATATAAGCCAAACAATAAAGTACCAATACAGACAAACGATCAGGAATATGAATGATATTTGAGTATGAAGTCATCATTTAACTGAAGTAATTCCTATTAGCATCAAAATTTTATTTATTTCTTCGATGATTACTAAATGAGAAAAATTAGGCGAATCTGGAATTCTCTACATAAGGGACGATAAAGGCATAAAGAGTCAACAAGCATTAGCTTGATCTATGATTCCATTTCTTTTTTGGTAAGTGGATGCTATTTTACAAAACGATAAAATGTTTAATTCTACTTGGCATGTTTGTTAAAATGCAAAATTAGCTCGGTAATTTAAGGTTCGAGAATTATGTTTTTTAATAATGCTTTTTAATAGTCATCCGTACACCATGCCTTGTAAGGAGCATGAAGATTCTACTGCACGGCCGCGTATAGAGTAAAAATAGAATGGAATGTAAGGCAAACTAAATAAAACCCGAGCATCTAAGTCTTAATGGTATTGTCGAAACGTTTTGAAATGTTTTTAAAGGCTGCCAACATTTCAAATATGCAATTACATTGGCTTATTATCCAATCTTGCAACAAAAATACAAGTGTCAAATTACTGTAATGCTTCCTGAATTTTTCCCGTACAAATTATTGCCAAATTAGTACCATTCTCATTTAATGATTCATTTAGGTACCATCCTATCATTTGTAGAAATAAGTTTTTTATTAATTCCTTGACGTATTTGTCAATCTACAGTTTTCCTTTTCTTCTTCTACAATTTTTCTAATTGGTTAACGAATTCCAATTACAAAATTTTTCGTGAGTAATATAGAAGCGGCAGCTTTAACTAAAATGTCGACGCCCATTGGTTAAATTTAGATCGAACATGTGCGCTTATTCAAAATATACCAACCATGTTAGGCTATAAAGATGGCGACGAAAAATACAAAAATAAAACAGCTACTAATTCTTGGCAACGGATTTAGACAAAGCTATATTACGTAACTAAATATTTTTTTAACATTAATAAAGTATTTTAGACACACACATTCTCTCCATTCCAAATAAGTACGTATGTGCCTAACCATTTCAGATTTTGTTTCGAATCGCCAAACCTATTTAAAAATTATTACTTAATCCCCAGCAATCTATTATAGATCCAAGTAGATAGGCATAAAGTTATTGTGCCACATTGACTGTTAAATGGATTTTAGAATCTATTTTTAGAAGGCACATTTTATAATGTCAAGCGCGTTCAAGAATTTTTTTGAACTTTAGTGTTTCTTAGTTGCATAATACCTACACCGTATTAAATTTTGAATTTAAATTCTAATCTTTTTGTTAAACAAGATTAAACAAAAAAGGAACGATGCATTTCAGTTTCTCCAAATAATGAATCCATACTTATGATTTTAGAATGACATCTTCCAAAATATAGTACAAGGTTCAGTCTAAATTACAGATCAAATCCATGCTTTTGGTGTAATTCGAAGTAATTACTTAATATTTTTTTTAGATTTTATCTGGTAAGGAATTAAGGAAGATGTCATTCTAGACATGGACCAAATAAACACCAAAAACTCCACAAAACTCTGAAACACTTCACACACTTAAAAAGAATCACAGTCCGGGTAGCAGCGGTTTTTGGTATTTAACACACCAAAAAAAAATTAATATAAAACACAAACACACTGAGAGATCCGCTAATTGATATCACACACACATATAAAAAATATGTAATCGCAAGCTCAAAGGAACCTGTTCCACTTACGTTCGAAAGCCGTTATGGCCGAGCGACCGAACCCGGGTGAATATAAATGTCTGCAACCAGATCCCGAAATGTAACGGGATCGGTGATTGGTCGTTCCCGAACGCCAATCCTGGATGCCGTTACATCCAGGTCAGTCTACCTTTTTAGGAACGGGGAGTGAGGAGAGAACGTGCGAGAAGGGCCCAAAATACACGCTAACCATGGATAGCGGTCTTGAAGCGAGTATTATTTGGAAAGGAAGGGTTCCTGAAAGCGGTGGGACATAATAGCATTGCCGGGACGTTAACCTAGTGGTTCAGATTTTCTGGCCCCCTTAATAAACAGTGAACTTGAGAATGGGTCACTGGGGAAAATGGTAGATAGGATCCATCATGCAAGTGAATCATATTCATGTAATAGAAAAATTGAAAGAATGATAAATATAATAAATTTATTCCATTACAAAATTCTAAAACAAATTAATTCAGGCAAGTTTACCTACTTGAGTATATATTCAATTGTGAGTGTTTTTACGTGAGTGCTTATGGTGATTTAGAATCTATGTATTTCGTCGTACAGGGTGAGTTAAACTCAATAGATTTCGAGAGTAATAAATAAAGCAGTAATTCATATTTATTTAAAATACAGTAAAAGAGCTGACGTAGTTATTATAATTTTCCCAAATGCTGAGTAGAATATCGTAACAACTATAGTTAATGGTTTGACGCTATTGTTAAACGTTTTGTATACTACTTATATACGGTTAGTTATGCTACAATTTAGATGAAAACTCTCAATAATATCGAAATCATTAGAGTTTGACTTATCCATCCAGGTGTGACATACACCTACCTCATTCTCCCTATAAAATTTTCTTTTCAGTACTGCCATTTGTTTTCTGCATTTATCTACATGATCATATTGTTGCAATAGTATCCACTATTTCAAAATTTTATTACGAAAATAATGAGAAGTAGATAGCTATTGATTAAAGAACAACTAAAAAACATCTTTTGTTTAACGAAAGTATCCAAGTACACACTACAGAGTTTACTAGTGTTTGTAATTTACTTTATTTCAATCCTCATTGTTGGTGTTAGAAAGTAAAAAGTATGTCTACACAAAATTTAGTAGCCATGTCATCATAAACACTTAATAATTAGCTAGTACCATAAAATAATTATTTTTATTGGTCCTAATAATAGTAGCCAAGAAAACCCCTATTAGGTGTTGTATCGTTCTCTTAATTATTTATCTGTTACAGTCTTCTAAATTCTAAATGATATCAACTTTGTAGGAATTCTGAATTTATTGGACAATAAGATTAATGAGAGAGTTCTTTCTGTTATTCTCATGTTACACGTTGATTTAGCTGCGAATAAATCAATAAAAAAGAATAAAACGATAACTTGTAACTTAAAAAATATTTAATTACTAATATTTACACTAACTTGCGACTTACACATACATAAAAAAAAAAAAAATATTGATAAAATTAAAGGAAAATGAGCTCTATGATAAATCTAGCATATAAACTATGAAATACCTGATTTAAAGGAATTTACATGAACTGCTATTTTGTAAATTAATATTGAAAATAAACACAAATTATTGCGTGATATGCAAGACTAGATATCCAAAAAGCAATAACGCATAAAATCTATTAACCTATTTAAATAAAAACTTAAATCATGTACTTATTTAATAAGTATGGGAAATACATAAAATTAGAATTTCCCTTCTTTATGGTCTAGAATAAACTCAAAAACTTTCTATAAATGTGGATATTTAAAAAATTTCAGGTACTTTTCTATAAACGCGTGACAATTAACAATTACACATATGAGGTCTGCNGTTCAAAAAGTATCACGAATTTTGTGTTTTTTTAAAAATTATTTATTTATTCATGAATATCTATTTTGTTCCCTTCAAAGTAATCCCCATCAGATGTTATATACACTTGTGCTAACGTTTTTTTCTATTCTCGAAGCACATCAAAAAATCATTTTTTGTGATCTTGTTCAGGTCCACCTTCGACCCGTCGTTATCTCCTCAATCGTAGTGTAGCATCATCCTCTCATGAGCCTCTTCAGTTTCGGGAACAAGAAAAAGTCACAGGGGGCCACATGTGGATAATACGAGCAGGGGCGTTATTATGATGCAAAAGTCAATTTTCGTTCTTCCACAAATCTGGGCGTTTCTGGCAGATTGCTTGGCGCAAATTGCCTATAACTTGCAAGTAATATTCCTTATTGGCCGTTCTACCCTATGGCAAGAACCCTTCAAACACCACGCCCCTGTAATCGAAGAGAATGTAAGCAAAACCTTCACATTCGACCTAACCTGGCGCGCTTTTTTCGATCTTGGCCTGTGTGGCAGCTTACAATGGGACGATTGAGCTTTGGTTTCCACGTCACAACCATAAACTCATGATTCATTATCAGTTATCACCTTCTGGAGCAAATTTGGGTCGTCGCGGACCAGAGTCCAACAGCTGCTTAGCACTGTTAATGCGATGCTGTTTTGGTCGAAACTGAGCAGTTTTTGAACTAATTTCGCGGCGATTCGTCTCATGCCCAAATCATTGGTAAACATCGAATGGCAGGAATTGAAATGTTTAGATCCTCAGCAATGTCTCTAACGGTGATTCGACGATTGGTCAAAACTATTGTCTTCACTTGATCATTGTTAGTTCATTCATGAACTGGACAAAAGAGTTGTCCAGATTGTGAAATAAGATATTATTACACTGTCTGGTACAGGACATCCAATTCACGAAAAGGACAATAGATCACCATGAACGTAGAAACAGGAGTTATGAGGAGTAGAGGTAGACCTAGGTTAGGTTACTGTTCGCAAATAGCCAAAGGTATGGGTTGTTCTAGTTTTAGGCCGAGTGGCATGGCCTAGAGGTTTAGAGTATTGCTTAGCATTCGGGAGGACGCCGGTTCGATTCCGGTCCGTGTGCCTCGATCCAAGTTTTTCTGTGGTTTCCTTGGATCACTTAGACAAATGCTGAGGCAGTAATATTCCACAGATAATCTTTCATTCTCTTCTGTCTTCATTTCGTCCGTCTCATCTTTCTCATGAAAACAGGCGGA